GAGCCACGATAATGAATTAAATCGATAAGACACGTTGCATAGAAGCAGCCAGGCTTTCCCCTGAAATAAAACTTGCAATGGAGCCCCCAGACTTTCCCGATTTAGACAACATTTAATCCATCTCTCATCTCTGTCAGGTCAATGGTTGTTGTAGCTTTGTGGAGAAGACGAGTTTACAGGACATTGTTTTGCTGCAGTAAGAAGCTGTTCTTGTACAGCGTGAGTGTGTTTACAAGTTATCTTTAAGATCTTGATCATGATTTTCTTTGTGATATCTACACCCAATCCACACGAACCAAACCTTTAGGATTCAAACAGTCTTTCTATTCTTGCATCTGTATGATGTCAGGCACACGGCTCTTATTACAGGTACGCAAGTAAAGTGTGAATCACACAAAGCTCGAGTCAAGGAATAAAAGTATGGAGCCAAGATTTACTTTCATGTTTACCAAGTAGCTTCCTGGACATCTGAAACCAGAACTGTGAAAACGTATTTTCTTTAGTGGCTGTATTTGCGCTGCTTTGGCTGATGTGATAAATCAGGACACAGGATAACGAGCACACGGGTAAAGAGAGGATGAGAACTCGTCAATAGTCTGTCCTCATCGTTTTATAAATCAGCAGCGATGTTATGGGGGTAGTTGCTGCTACAGGAGATTCTACCAATTAAAAATTAAAACAAAAAAAGTCAAAACTTTCCATTCTTATGTCTTAAGATGATGATGCATGCAGACTGGGTTTCCTTACCTTGTACTTTTATTTCCGAGAGCATATGCACACAGATAGTTTGGTTAGAAAAGTGAAACAAGCTCACAGGTGAGTAATGGCAGACGTTCCATTATTTTCTCCCGAAGTTCTTGGATTAGAAACTCCCTTTACAAAGCTCAGGGAGTTCAGTACTGAACCACTTCAGATCTTAGAAATAAATTAGCCACTGCAATGTTGATCCTGTACAGCAAGTAAACAGATCTGTCAAGTTACACTTTATGAAATGTATAGATTGGGATACGTAAATTAGTGCAAATGAAGTGTGGGCTGAACAGTTTGAAACAGACGACACAAACACTGTGGGGTCCAGATAGTGGTGTTTGGAGGGGGGCTCTGTTAGGTAAACAGCAGCTAGAAGACACATACAGTGAGGATTCAGACAGTGGAAACTGAAGGAAGTCATCATTGCACAGAAATCTTGATTTGAATGAGGGTGTGTGTGATGAAGAGGATGTCAGACAGAGCAGCACCTCCAGCCACAGATGTGTCTCCTCTAATATCATTTGGTTTCTTGCATAGTTCTTGTGTTTCTTTGGCCTGAGAGAGGCCTCCAATCATCCTGAATTGCTC